ACCTTTGACCTTGTGCCTTTTAAGCCCATAAATGCTTCTTTGTACCTTTGCGACAATAAGTTTCACACCGAACCCCTTGGTCAACTCCTGGAATCTGATGAAAAGTTTGGGTTTATTGTCATGGATGGAAATGGCACTCTTTTCGGGACATTAAGTGGTAACACCCGAGAAGTGCTTCACAAATTTACTGTTGACCTTCCAAAGAAACATGGAAGAGGAGGACAATCAGCTCTTAGGTTTGCTCGTCTTCGAATGGAAAAGCGCCACAACTATGTAAGGAAGACAGCGGAGCTTGCCACTCAATTTTTTATTAACCCTGCAACGAGCCAGCCAAACGTATCGGGATTAATACTTGCTGGATCAGCTGATTTCAAGACTGAGCTGAGCCAATCGGACATGTTTGACCCTCGCCTCCAGGCCAAGATACTCAATGTGGTTGATGTGTCGTATGGAGGAGAAAATGGTTTCAATCAGGCCATTGAATTATCTGCTGAAATTCTTTCCAATGTGAAGTTCATACAAGAAAAGCGCTTGATAGGGAAGTTTTTTGAAGAAATCAGTCAAGATACTGGAAAATATGTTTTTGGTGTGGATGACACAATTAAAGCTTTGGAGATGGGAGCCGTTGAAACATTGATTGTATGGGAAAATTTGGATATAAATCGTTATGTGCTTAAAAACAGTACAACCAATGAGATTGTCGTTAAACACTTAAACAAGGATCAGGAGGGTGACCAGAGCAACTTCAAGGATTCAGAGACATCTGCTGAATTGGAGGTTCAAGACAAAATGCCATTGCTGGAGTGGTTTGCGAATGAGTACAGAAACTTTGGCTGCACACTTGAGTTTGTCACCAACAAATCTCAGGAGGGATCACAGTTCTGCCGAGGATTTGGTGGCATTGGGGGAATTCTTCGCTACCAGGTTGATATTCGATCTTTTGATGAGCCATCTGACGATGAAGGATTGTATGAGGATTCAGATTAAGTTGAGCTGATACTCATGATGCCAAGATGAGAAAATTCTTAAGTGCTTTATCAGTGAGCTTCTAGTCACTATGAATTTATAAATTTGACATTTTTTAAGTCAATCGACTTAATCAATCTTCTTCTTGGACGAAGGGGTATCTGGTATCCTCTGGCGGTTTATGAAACTGTATATCTTAACTGATCTTTTTCGTGCTTACTGGTCACTTGATG